AATAATAACATTAAACAATAATCAATAAGAATAATAAAATAACAAACGATCTAGTCCAATTTATTGTCGTCGAGTTGAAATAAAATGAAATGAAAGAAAGAATTAATGAAAAGGGCAGACCGATGTGTGTACATAAAAAAAAATGATGACGATGACGATGACGATGATGATGATAACGATGGGATATGATGTGGTAAAGAATGAGAAAAATAAAAAGAAAAAATGGAAGAAAAATCAACGAGTGCAATCACGTACGCGATTTGGTGTGGACGTGTGCCGATGATTCGTGGTCGCTAGTTGCGTCAACCGCAAATTTTTTACGAGCTCATTTTGTATTTATTGATTGATCGATCACGCAAACTTCGACGTAGGCTCTCTCGCGCGAATTTCATATTTCAATAATAATTCTTTAAAAACGTCGCTCGGTTCTCGTATGATTTCCAACGATGCGTCTTAATTTATTGACTGTGAATAGAAATAAACGATGGAGAAATTCAAGCGATATATATATATATGCATACACTTTATATATATATATATATATATATAGAAAGATATATATATATATGTGTCGTTTAATCTTTTTTTTTATTCTCTCTCTTTTATATTCATTCAATCATTCATTCATTCATTCATTCATTTATTCATATTTTGTATTGACCTCTTCCCACCCCCCCCCGACCCCAATTTCTCACGATCCTGTATCTAAATATTTTTAGTGATATCGATGATGATAGAGGATGGGGTATGTGAATAGAAATAAATGCTGGAAGAATCAAATTTCGTACGTTTGTCATTATTTTATTTCCTGTGATATTTTAAACTCTTCTCTTTTTGTTTTTTTTTTTTTTTTCTTTTATTCTGCAGGAAAAACATTCATGTTTTTTTTATAGATATACTATGTGAAAATATTTGAACACGATAATAGATGTGATTAACGAAGTGAGATGGTTTTGTGAATAGAAACGCGTAATAAATCTATGGAGAAATCAAATGATATGTTTGTCATTTTGTTTTATTTGATATTTTAATTGGATACATCATGGTCTTTTTCAATCGATTTTTTATATTTCTTTTTCATTGATATCTGATTCGAAAAGAATTATGAAATTATGAGGAATTTAATATAGAAGAAATTTGATTGATTTATTAATTATTTAGATTTTTTATTGAATTAATTTATATTTTTATATTTTTAATTGAGATATTTTTTTGTGATATATCAAATATAGAAATTATATGTATTTCTTTAAATATTAATTAATATTTTTTTTTGTTCTCATTGATTTCCCCATGCTCATTAAATATTGATGATATAAAGAGAAATGTAAATATAAATGAGTTAAATTACGCTATGTGTTTATTATATATATATATATATATTTTCTCCTTTGACATTAATTAATGTATTCATATTTTTCATTAACCTTTCAATTTAACCCACGATTTACATTGATACAATTATAATCATTTTCATAATAATTAATATAATTAATAATAAATAAAATGAAGCAACATGTGTAATATATACTCGCCTGGTTTTACTTTATAACCACATATGGAAATATTAATTAATTCAACATTTTGTCATACATCTTTCAAATCTTAAATCCAAAATATCAACATATTTTAATATTAATAATAATCAATAAAATCGATCAATATTAACATATTCAGTCAGTTTTTCCTTTGATACATTAATTAATTCATATTATTCATCTACCATAGACCAATTTTCAAATCCTACATAAATACATACATACATACATACATATTATACATACATATTATACATACCATTATAATATCACAGTTATTAGCATCGATATTAACGAAAGAAAATAAATAAGTATAAAAATTAACGTTAAATTTCAACGCAAATTGATTCATCGTTTTCGATTAAAGACGGGGAGGCATAGAAAAAAAAAATAGAAAAGGAAAAAAAAAGAAAAAGAAAAGGGGAAACGAACAACAGCCACACACACACTCGTCCCCAAAAATTCTCTTCCATTTTCCGAGGAGAAACTCGTTAACGTTTGTTCTCTAATGAGCGTAACTAATTAAGAAATTTAAATGTATCTAATTATCTCCCACACACAAACGAACGAACTAACGTATATACATACATACATACATACATACGAACGAATTGATTACATCGCGAGCGAAAATAAACGAGATATATTTTTATTATCGCACACAAAGCTCTCTCGCGATCGTTAAATTAAGGCTTACCACAAACGTGGGTTACTCTCGCGCGCAGACCACGTACGATCAATCGGTGGAAAGGCGTATGCGTGTTACGTTTGCTAATGCAACATATGAACAAACACGGAATATGCACAGGTGCTGTGAGATACGCATTGCTGAAGTTTGAGGAGGAAAATGAACACAGTCGGGGGGGTGGGGGGGTGTAGAAACGACACGCGTGAAATTCACTCTCCACGCGTGAAACGCCTGCGAATATACCCTTCTTGTTGTTACCGCCTAGTGATCCCAATTTACGTTCAACCCCTAATCTCGTAATCCTAATTTCTTTTCTCTTTTTGTATTTTTTAATTCACGATAATATAATTCACTTTCAATCAAATATAAAATTACTATTTTTTATAAAAAAAAACGATAATGTGATTCAATTATTTTCATATCAATGTTATTCTTTGTTTTTTCTTTTATTAATTCCTCATTTTGTATTATCTGATGTAATCGTATATTTGTATTGCTTTTTCTTTTTATATTTTATTCAATTTTTTTGTTCTCCTCTATTTAATTAACACATAATATATGGTTTCTCAATAAAATATGATATAATTGTACACTATACATTGATATATAAGTTTTTTTTTTGACTATTTTTGTTCTGCTAATAATATAAGCGTAAAACAAACGTTTACTTTTAAAGGGTGAGAATTAAAATACATTCAATAAGTGTGAGAATAATTTGTGTGTGCATATAGAATAAAATTTCTTTTTTTCTTTTTTGTAGATTAAAAAAATAAAGATAATAGAAAATATTTGAATACGAAAGGAGATATGTTCTTCGATATTAATGTATAATATATTTTACATTACATTATATTTATACATGTTATGTTATACGTATAGATTACACAAAGCAAATCCACGTTTGTCTCACGTTTCACGTGTTACATCATACTAAAGCAAAAGCGTTATCTACAATCCACTTTATGCTTCGGTGTCCGATTGTAAACTCAAAGATAGAACAGACAAAGTTGTTTAACTAACCACAGTTCGTTTAACTATATTCTACTTCTTACTGTTCCGCGCAGTTTACTAGCAACACGTTCCTACCGATAATTAGTCAAGTTAAGAGAACTTTGGTGACCATCAAGCGTTATCTAACTATGAATAGTTGAATAGAAATGAAAAAGAGATAACAACAAGATGAATTATCGAAATTTACTTTAAATTTTCATACATTGGATATACTCTAATTATAGGAACGCGAATAAGATATTAAAATAATCTATTTTTTTCTATGCAATATATAAAATATAGTATAATCTTTTTTTACAATCACAAAACACCCAAGCACAAAAAGTTGATGCTTGTGTTATTTAAAATAAGCTTTTAGCCCTGACTGATTCAAATCTTTTTATTCGTTTTATATTTTTTTTTTATGTATATCTTCTTCAGAAGGATTATGCAACACTCTCTGTCAAGTCTGTTATTAAACAGTTATCGTATATAAAATCACTACTTTACTATCTAAATGTTTTAAAATTATCAGCCATATATAAAAAACAAAAAAAGTTCGTATGTTTCACGTATAAAAGATTCCTTAATGATTAAATTATAATTTTTCTTAAAAATATATTGTACATACTTAAACTTTTAATTCAAAAAGTGAGTAAGTATGCTACTCGAATAAACCACTATAGTGACACATCGATCTGGAAAAATATTCGCAAGAGCCACTTTTGTGGCAGGCCGGCTAAGCACCATATCGGTAATAGTAGTGATCTACCTTTATCTTAACTACCGTCGGTAACGGTAGTTTTCTACTTTGAAAAATATTTATAGTTTTAGTGAAATGTTCAAGTTTAATTATTATTATAATTTAATCATTAAGGAGAATCTTTACGTTAAACATTTTTTATATACGGCTGATAATTTAAAAAGTGTGTGTGCCAGCTGTGAAGAGCGATTTTTTTAATTACTCTACGAAGTATCAAAAATATTCTAGGGACAAATTTAGCCTTAAGGCGAACTTACAATTCCCTTTAATAAAGTACACTAATTAATGAATGAAATTCGATGAATGAATAAATAGTCTCTAGATTCACACTTGACCCACAAGGTTAAAAAACAATCATTGATTAATTATTCTATACATATATATATATATATATACATATAAATAAATTATTTTATTTTACGTGCGAATGATTAAAAAAAACAAAATCTTTGAAAAAATATTTTAACAAACATTTTTTTATATCTACATATAGTATTTTTTACTTATTATAATTTATAGTATATACTATAATTATAATGCATTCTATAATATATAATATATACTATGTACTCATAATAATTACAAATTGTAATTAATGATAATATTTAAAAAAAAAATACAGAGTAAATTTAAAATGACGAAAATATTACCATTGATTACGATGTTTGTGTTATTCAGCATGTTATAAAAATAATCTTTTTATTTTTTCAATTCTAATTAAACTTTTAAAGAGATTGTATAACTTTTAATTGTTTATATATGTTTAAATGACCGTTGTATTTTTATATCACATATACGCAGAAAAAAGAAAATTTGCAGGGATCAATGTCCAAATGATAAATATCTACTACTCATGGGTATAATATACAACTTAACCAGTACGTACTCTGCTTTTGATTGCGTCAAAGAGTAGAGCTCCTTTATTATACTAATTTTTTTTCGTGAAAATATTTAAATTGACATATTTTCGATACTACAACTATAATTAAAATGCTCAAGGTAACTACTATTTTTTAATACACGACAATATAACAATGAAGAAGTGAAGAATGTGTAAAAACTAACAAAGAATCACAGTAAAAATTATAATAACAAGTAGAAGAAAAAAGTTGTAACGTAAATTAGGTTCTCTTTATGTTAAGAAATAATAGTTTTGTATTTATCATAATAAGGAAATAGAACAAATGTATTAAATTAAGAAACATTTCAGAATACAGTAGCATTAATAACCGGAGGAGCCTCTGGCCTAGGTCGTGGCACAGTTCTAAGATTTGTCAAAGAAGGTGCGAAAGTTACAATTGCAGACCTGCCCAGTTCAAAAGGTCAAGAACTAGCCAGTCAGTTGAAAAATCAAGCTATATTTGTACCAACCGATGTAAGATATTAGAAAATACAACAATTTTTGTTAAATTTTTATTTGATTATAATACTTCTATATAATCACCCTGATTGAACTTTACATTACTTGTATATATGTTAAATATATTTGCAGGTTACTTCGGAAGAAGATGTATTAAATGCTTTAAAAGTAACTAAGACTAATTTTGGCAAGTTAACAGCAGTTGTAAATGCAGCAGGTATAGGATATGCACACAAGACATATGATTTTAATAAAAATCAACCACACCAATTAGATGAATTTACTAAAGTCATTAAAGTAAATACATTTGGAACTTTTAATGTGATAAGACTAGCTGTTGGTCTTATCGGTGAAAATACACCTAATGAAGATGGTGCACGTGGAGTTATAATCAATACTGCAAGTGTGGCAGCATATGATGGACAAATGGGACAAGCTGCGTACTCTGCCAGCAAAGCTGCTATCGTTGGAATGACTTTACCAATCGCTCGTGATTTGTCTAGACATGGTATACGTATAGTAACTATTGCACCTGGATTATTTGATACACCATTATTTGCAACTTTACCAGACAAAGTACGCAACTCTTTGTGCAAAATGATACCTTTTCCTCAAAGATTAGGTAAACCAGACGAATATGCACATCTAGCACAGCATATAATTGAAAATACTCTTCTAAATGGAGAAACAATAAGATTGGATGGTGCTATCAGAATGACGTAACTTAAAAAATATAATATATTTTTATATTCAAACAAGTGGAGGGTAAATATTGAACAGGGCTACTACTAAGTTAAATAAATTTCTTCATAATGATGAAATATACATCTATAAACATGCAGAATTAAATAATCGTTTCTTATTTTTAAAAAGTTTTATCTCTTTTTCCAATTAAATCCCATGTGACGTTATTTTGTTCTTTTATTTAATAAACAAATTTACGTCGACAATAGTCTCAAACTTTCGCATTCATTGTACCAAATACTGTAATCGACTGTCAAGGCTAGTTATTCAGATTGAAACATATGTAGAAAAAGAAAAGCGTGTAATACCCAAACGCGATTAAAGCGAAACTTCTTAAAAGATTTTTATATTGGAAACTGTGTATTGAATTATTAAATTCAGTCACCAGTGAAAATGTCCTGACAATAGATGCATAGTTGACATACTAAACAAATACCAAAAATTTGTTCATACACACATACATTCATACATTCATACATTTAGTCAGAAAAACCAACACTACGACTACAACCGGAACACGAACTGCAAACAATTGAATAGAATCTTGCCAATAGTAATGACCCTAAAACAAAAATTAATTTTATATATATAATAACATATAACTTATGTATTATTTTTATTAATTTATTGATATATCATAAATGATAGAGTATTACAGACCTTGAGATACTACTGTAGAAATTGTTGTAAATATCCATTGATAAAGCGGTATTTTTCAATATTAATCCTTACAACTTGAAAAAAAACAGTACATTCTAAAACAAAAAACTAAATGAAAAGGGCATGTGTGGAAAAATGAAATTCGGTATGTAATCCGCAACCAAAACTTTTCAATTTAAATTATTTAATGAATAATGAAATTTAAAGAGAAAATATTTTAAATGACCAATAAGTGGACATTTAAAAATACCAAATTCTCGATGCATTAGAAAATGTGTTTTACTATATTTAAACACAAGTGAATATGAAAAAATGCATGTCTCTGATACATGCTTTTGTCAATATACAAATATATGAATAGAAAAAGGTTTCAATTTCATACAAAATTATCAATCGATTAATACAATTACAAATACACATATGAAATTATTCAAGACACATTATGAAAAACTTAAATAATTATGAATATATCCACAATATTTAAAAATTAATAAACACCGCTTTCAAAATAAAAAAATAAACAATATTGCACCTTGCGACGTATTACAAAATGCATACGCAATTATGTATATCGCCATAACAATAACCATAATAAGATCAAATCTATGTTTGATCGATAGAGTACATAAATCTTTTATTTAATTACATTTATATTAACGCGAAGTATGCAGTTACATCGACGAGTGTCTAATGTACATATTACACCATTTAATTATATACAAGACACTTTTTTATTTTTAGTAAACTATAAAAAAACAAAAAATAGTAATACAATTTCACAATWWTCGRAGCAYGTATTTTAAATAAATATGAATTCAAGTGTATACAATGCAATATGGAATCTTAAAGGAAGAAGAAAAAATTGAAATTGAATATACAAAAATATTAATTGAACATTGAAACAAAATTGATAATTAATTAATTGCTATTGCTTGCTTTAACAGATTCTAAGCTAATCAARTCTTATAGATTGTTAACCGGAATAATATGAGTAATTTTGATTATTAATTGGAAGGATGATTGACTCTAATTGGACTAATCAGATTAGTCCATATATTTAGAATAAAAAAAATAT